ATCATTCCCCACGGACAACGGAATTTTCCTGGATTCCCAGACGAAATTTTGCCGGCATTTAATGCCGAGGCATCTCCAGAGCCTGAGCACGATGCACCTGATCCTCCTGCTGATGACCTACTCCTGATACACACCGGTCCAAGACTCCTGAATATCCGCCCACTGTCCCTGTCGAAGAAACACCCAGTCCCGTCCCAGCACCCAATCCTTCTCCTGCACAACGTAGTGGTCACCGCACCAAAACCACGGCTGGACGCATTGCGCACTATTACTCCAATTCTTCCGAGTCCAGCCCAGCACCTATCCGGAAGCGCACCCGACGAGGAGCTGCTAGCACCTCCAAAGCACTACCATCACGTAAACATTGAGGTACCTCTTTTGCATCCATTTTCATTTAGTTGCATTTCATTGCATAACATATAGTTTATAGTTAGTTTAGTTCTCTTTAAAGCATCGAGGACAATGCTTCCCTTAAGTTTAGGGGAGGTATTGTTATTGGTAGGTCATATGCATGATAGCATTAGCATAGTATTATGCCATGGCATCAGTAAATGGTATGACAGTTAGATAAAATGTTTTGAGGATACCCGATGATGATAATTTTGTTAGGCTAGAATCTGAATGTAAATGACTATTGAGAATGATATAACTCACTCTAGGGCTTGATGTTTGGTGAAAAATATTTACACGATTTGTATGTTCTCTATACTTAGAAAATTTAGGAAATTTTTATGAAGGAACTTTAGTTAGTCTTGGCATTGAAATATAGTATGGTGTTTAAAAGGAAAATCAAAAACAAACTCCCTTAGAAATGAAACTGTGAATAAATGTTTAAGCATAGCTGTAGAGGGACACTCCTCTTTGCCGTGGCATTTCCTGGAACTTTCTTTAATAAATGGAAGCCTTGTGCATATGAGTGAATGAAAGAAGTCACGGGATGACTCTACTTAACTAGCTCGGGGATGGAAGGTATGCTCCCTTTCATCTAGAGTGTGGGAGAGTAGGAGTGATGAGCTGACTCCCTTCGTAACAGCATTTAAAAAAAAGGGAGTAAAAATGTGCTTAATGATAAGTAAATGCCTTGACAAAAACTAGGGGACTTGATTAGAAATTGTCTAAATTCGCTAAGTATAGATTGGATACAATCACGCACACACACTACCACAAAGGATTTTGACCTAAAGAAAAGTACTTGAATTCTTGATAAGTCTAGCATGTTGAAGCCTATCGTTCTGAGGGCTGAAATTCAATTTTGTCCTACTGTCTTACTATCGAACTTTGCCATGACATTATGCTTATGTAACTGCTATCCATTGCTTGAGGACAAGTAATAGCTTAAGTTTGGGGGTGTGTTAACTTCCTAAAAAGGCTACTTTTAAAGCCTTTTTCACTTAAGTTATTGTTTGTTTAAAAGCTCATTTTAGTCATTTTAGGATCATGTAGTTGCATATAGTTGCATTTGTGGTGGTTGTACTATTTTATTTCTCAATGGTGCTGTTTGAGGGAAAGGTGCAGTTTGTCTATGGTGTGCAGGAATAGCAAGAAAAAGGATTCTTTGGGAAGTAATGCCGCGGCATCACACGTTGCTAGAGCAGATTGAAATGCCTTGGCATTTCTGGCGCAGAAAAGGACAAAAAGATATTTCTGCATCAGGACAGCTGGCACTGGACAGCTGTCTCTGCACGTGAAGGATTGCTGTAACCGCCTGCCAGAGCTGCCAATGTACCACTGCCACTTGGAGGATAAGATTCATGCACAAAATGTGATTCTAGGGGTATGAGGGGTATTTTGCACCCAACAAACTCATCATTACCCCTAGATATTTTATTTATTATATATGACACCTCATGGGAGAGAGAGAAAAAAGAGACACGCATAGAGCAGAAAAATCAGATTTTTATTTTCTCTTTTTCATTTCTTCTTCCTTGGAATATTCCTCCATTGATAAAGCTCCAAGGAGTGGCAAGCTAGGCGCCGAAAGGAGCTAGCGAGCTAGGTGGTTCGTGGTGGCCGAGAGGAGACCTCCGGTGGCGCGTCGAAGGCTTCTTCTCACTTCCCTTTTTGCTGCTATTTCTTTATATTATTTTGTGGGTTGTTGGAACGAATTTTCATGACTTTGTGTTTGGATATTTCGAACCCCACCATGAACTAACTTATTTGGTGGTGGTTGGTTGAATGGTCGTTTAAACTTTATTTTTAATGGTATATTTAAGTTTATTTTGGTTCTTTATTTGCTTTGCTTATGAATGCTTCACCATCTAGGCTTGTAAGAGGCATGTAAATGTCCATCTCTTAGATGAAGGTTAGGTATTCGGAAGAATCCTAAACTAAAAATACTTGTAAGTATTCGGAAGAAACGCAAGATAAGATCCTCATAAGCAATGGGTTATGGTATTTTCAAGGGGCTTTGAACCGACCTAGGAATATTATAACTTAATCCCTTAGATCTCGGAAGAGACTAGGTTAGTATTTCAACGACTAAAAAGGGTGTCTTCATCAATAGGGTAGGCTGTCCAACATCGTTGAGTGAGAGCAGATGCCTTGGCATCCTATTCTGTTAGGTTCTTTTGAACACCTTAGGAAATCCCTGTCGAGTAAGTAAAGACAAGATAGCTTAGATATACTTGAGAAATAAGTTTAGCAACCTTAGACCAATCCTTACCATTCATTTCATTGGAAGCTTGTCACGTGAGGATTATTTTCTTCTTATTTTATTTATCTTTTTAATTTACTGTTTTTACCATTTCTCATTGCCTTGACATTTCACCATACTCAATATTAAACATCCATCATTGCCACTGCATTTCCATTTGCTACACCATCACACCATCAATCCGCATCTACCAGCATACACATATCCATTGCCGTGACATTTGTATATATCAAGACTAACTATACTTAGATAATTTAGTGCATTGCTTTGGTTAGACTTTTGTGATTTCACCCAATCCCTGTGGAGACGATACTCACTCATCATTATATTACTTGAGCGATTGTGTATACTTGCACATTATTTGCGTATATTTTATAGTACTCACAAAACGCAACAATAGTCACCGAGATGAGGCATATTCGCAAATTCTGGCACGTATATTGCACCATAATCAGCTTCATACATGTGTGCAAGAGGGTCAGTTTGTGCCATATTTCCTAGAACTTCATCATCATCAGAGTTGAATTGCGGTGATTCTGGGTGAATGAATAGTCCAGTCTCAGCACCATCCGCACCAGGCTCACGAAGTGGTTCTTCTGGTGGAGATGATGGTTCCTCAATGCTCTCTACATTTAGGTCAAAGAACCTACTACTTGCACGCCTTCCCCTTGAACTGGAAGACATATCGACATTGAGATCGAAAAAGCTCGCAGTCGAATGCCTCCCCTTGAGCTTGAAGTCATCGTGTCAAATGGAAATTGCACAGATGGTTGCGTCGATGGCATCTCCATATGGTCAAAGAAATTTGCAGATGAATGCCTTCCCTTGAACTGGACGCGGTGTTGCCATACAATTGTTCGTGGACCCACATCGGTACATATCGTAAGGGGTTGCGGATGAATGTCTCCCCATTATGACATTAAAATCATTACACATTATTGTAGTCGGGTTGTCAACTTGATCAACTTGTTCAGCCACCCCATAATGTGAGCTTAAAGATTGACCCCAAACAGCACGCACTTGAACAAAATGTGCATACATCTCAATAGCGGCGTTTGAATAATTACTTTGAGCTTCAACCATCATTTGAACATCATCATTGTTCGAAAGTTCGAACGCTGTATAAGTTAATGACAACAATGATGTTGGAAATCTATACTGCAACGACGACATTATTCTGTTACTTCCAACATGAATCTTCCTCGAAATCTTCGTTATTAGCACCTCAAGAGTTATGTTTCTCTTGAATGATATTTTAACACGCTCATTTGATACGAAAACAACGCCAGTTTCATCTTCTCGAATTTCACCATTATAATAAACAATAGCTGAAAGTCGCGCCATTCTTTGAGTTTAAAAGTGCGTCAATATTATATCTGAAAAAAAATAACTTAAACAAACCTGATTAAATAAATTATATATGAACGAAAATATAACACAATAAATTTTTTACACATCAACGTAAATAATTTAAATAATATAATTTTATATTATTACCTGCACCGCAAAACTATTTCGACGTATGATCCCGCTTTTCAATTTTACAAACATAAAAATTAATTGAAAATAATTAGTATAATATTTTTTCAAATAATGATAATAAACAATAAATATAATTAAAAAATTATAACAAAATTACCTTATAACGAAAAATCGCATGAACTTCTAAATCAAATTTGAGAAGATTGCGAGAATTATTACTCGTTGACGGAATTGTTGTATTAATTTATAAGAGAGGGGAGATGCGAGGAGATATGAGCCGGAGGAGTGTATTTATAAGCATATAAGGCGCGGTACCTGCACCACGCTATATGTAATTATTCAGATAAAAGATATAGCGCGGATCAGGGACCGCGTTAAATATAATTTTGGTAACGCGTATAGCGCTGCCCCTGATTCAGGGGACGCGCTATACCCACGTGGCGCCAAATCAGCATATAACACGGGGCAGGGGGCGCGCTATACCCATGTGACGCCAAATCAGCATATAACGCGATGCAGGGGGCACGCTTTCCTGCTAAAGGTGTTAGAACGAGAAATATAATCTGATCGATGTTAGATCGATAATAATACTGATCACCGGTGATATACCGAGAAAATAGCCTTGTATGACGCCTAATGGTACACAATATTCGAACTATTTAAATCAAGTAGGTTGAAAACCAAATTCTAATTGGCTGAACTAATTATTTTACATCTCTTAATAAATTTCGAATTTTTATTTAATTTATTAATCAATTAATTTAAATTAAATATAATAAAAATTTACTATATATCAATAATTTTACTCGAATGGAGTATTAATTTTCGGTTGTTTCATCAAAAAGTCCTCGAGTCAATAAGGCCATGGTGGTCTAAGACGGGGCAAGTTAAATCCAATACAATTCGTGGTTGTTGGGAACGGTAAGATACTAAGATGAATCCCTCGTCGGAGGCAGAGGAAGGAGGTTTGAAAAGATTGCTGAAATGGGCGGCGGAGCATGGGGTTGAGGTTTCCGAGTCGTGTTCTAGCCTGGGGCTAGGCCATTCTCTGGGCGTCTCTTACTTCCCCGGCGCCGGAGGAAGAGGCGTGGCTGCTCTCCGTCCTCTCACCAAAGGAGATTTGCTTCTTAAAGTCCCAAAATATGCCCTAATCACCACTCACTCTCTTATTTCCATATGTGAAACTCTGTCTCTTGCACTCAAACCCCACCTTTTTCTTTCTCCTACCCAGGTTTGATTTTGAGTTTCAGTGCTTGCTGCATGTTTTATTTGCATTTCAACCAAACCCAGAGACTAGACTAAAGCAATTTGCCCATTTCATTTGCAAATTCAGGTATTCACTGTTTGCTTGTTATATGAAATCAATAAAGGAAAGTCTTCACCATGGCACCCTTACTTTCTGCACTTGCCTCGTAGTTATTCCATACTCGCCGCTTTCGGTGAACTTGAAACTCAAGCTTTGCAAGTTCCGTCTCTGATTTTTTTCCTCTTTTGCTTTTGCTTCCTCACATTTACTTCACTTGATTTTCTTTCTAAACTTGCTAGCTATCTCGTTCTTAGGTGGATTATGCCATCTGGGCTGCTCAGAAAGCTATCTCAAAAGCTAAATATGAGTGGAAACAGGCTTCCACTCTCATGAAGGAACTTAAACTTAAGCCTCCACTTCTCACTTTCAGGGCTTGGATTTGGGCTACTGGAACTGTGAGTGGACAGTGTTTACAAATTAGCTGACCCTCATTTCCATATGTAATGGTTACATAGGGTAAGAGAGGTAGGATAGTAGGTTGCCCAACACCAGGTTGAGAGCAACTTTCGTAGATACCTCCGAATTATGAAATGTCATATGCATTAATGTCTGAATATACATGCAACTTTTGTTCTATACTTTTTATAATCTTACATTCTCTCTGTTTTTTTTCTTGGCCTTTTTCTCTTTCTTATATCCTGATATACTTGAATCATAAAAACCTTTTACATCTGTTCATGTTGAAGATCTCCTCTAGGACGTTACATGTACCTTGGGATGAAGCGGGCTGCTTATGTCCTGTGGGAGACTTGTTTAATTATGCTGCACCAACTGAAGAATCAGACTGCTTTGAAGATGTAGATAACTGCAAAAATGAATATGCAAAAGATGACTTAGATATGCATCATTCGCAGAGATTAACTGATGGTGGATATGAGGAAGATGCAGCTGCATATTGCTTCTATGCTAAAAAAAACTATAACGTGGGGGAGCAGGTGCATGGAATTCTTTCATTTTACTCACAGAGCAGTTAAAATATATTCTGTTCAATTAATTGTATTATTGTTCACATTTAGTTTCATCTTTTCTTTTTCTTCTTTTGCTGTAGTCATAATCTTGAATGAGATTCTGAGGCATCTTCTTTTTCCAGTAAATCAAAGTTCCAATGCCTAACAAAATGAGACAAGCAGAATGAGCATTTACTGACATGAGAAATTTAGTGTGTTTTGTCCGAACATCATATGCTGCTTGCTAAAATTGCCCTTGTCATGTCCCAATTGTAAAAAATCATAGTCCTCTATCCTTACCTTCCCTGGTAGGATGCAATTCACATTAATAATAGTTTGCCTACAGCCACTTCTTCATTTATTTGAGCATTCTGATATTTCTTGCGGACCATTATCTTTTATACTTGCTGCAGTCCAAGCTAACCAGCTCACCTTTCTGTGCTGCCATTGTTGTTGTAAAATGTAATTTTTTATTGAATTTTATCATTTGTTGAATTTAAAATGAAACTATGTTTTGTGGTTGAATCTCACACCAACTATGATGTTAGTCTTTGGAAATCTTTAGGTACTTAAATTGAGAAGAATCCTTCCTGGTAGATGTCTGCCTCTTTTTGTTATCATGCCTAGCCTAAGTTGTTTGGTTACTTGTCTAACAAAACAGGCTGCAAACGCAAGTCATTCACCATGGATAGTCTTCTTATTCTTGTATGGCCTTAACTCCAATGATTTACCAAGTCTAGCTTAAATAAAGATACATTAAATTAAGAAGAATCCTTCCTGGTAGATGTCTCCCTAATTTTTTTTATTTTGCATAGCCTAATACTCTTTTTTTCTTTGTATTAGGCCCTCAACTTCAATTATTTACCTAGTCTTGCTTAAACAAAGATATTTTAAATTGAGAAGAATCCTTCCTGATAGATGTCAGTCATTTTTTTATTATTGCATAGCCTATTTTGTTTTATCACTTGTCTAACAGGCTGCAAATGCAAGTCATTTACCATGGATAATCTTATTCTTTGTATTAGGCCTCAACAGTCTCCAATGACTTACCAAGTCTAGCTTAAATCTTTAGGGATGTAAAAATGTTTTTTTTTTCCACCTTTCTGAAAATGCAAATTCTTTATGCTTCATGTTAAGTTTCTATTCCATCGTAAGTTTTGCATTGATGTGCTATGTGTTTTACATGGTAACCTTATTCCTTAGGTGTGAAGCAAAAAACACCACAAAAGGACATCTGACTTATTAGTGAGAGTTGAGAATTCAAACTCCTTCGGGAGGAAGAACTCAATATCTATAAAGTCCAATGGACTAAATTTCCTTTCTTTCTGTTCTATTGATAGCAATAGACCCTTACTCTAAACCCACTAGTCATTCCTAGCTTAATTATCTTAGAAAATTGGTAATGATAGTTTTTATTCGGAATCAAGCGCGCTCAATTTTGTCATTTCATTTCTGTTAAGTATCGTGCATTGGCGCTTCTTACGGCTTTCTATTCATATTGGGTCCTCCACCTGTTAATCGATGTCAAAACCAGTTGCCTTTTTTGAAACATGGAAAATAACACCAACAGTTGCCCGATTTTCATTATTTTCTTGATTATGTTCACCCTTTGGACAATGCTTGCAGTTTTTATTGGTTGACCATGTACTTGAAATGCCACTATCTGTTATGTAGGTTCTCTTGAGTTACGGAACATACACAAATTTGGAGCTTCTTGAACACTATGGATTTCTTCTAGAGGATAATCCAAATGAGAAGGTGTTTATTCCGCTGGAGCCTGACATGCATAGCTTAAGCTGTTGGCTGAAAGATTCGTTATACATCCATCAAAATGGGAGGCCATCTTTCGCCATGATGTGTGCTTTGCGCTTGTGGGCAACTCCATCATATCAGCGGAAATCTATCGGACACCTAGCTTATACGGGTTGTCAAATCTCGAAGGACAACGACACACTTGTGATGAAATGGATAGCTAAGAAATGTGATGCCGTGTTGAAGGAAATGCCGACAGCAATTGAGGAAGACAAGTCGTTGGTTCATTTGATAGACAAAATGGAGGAGTATGAGAACCCGTGGGAGTGGTTAAAGGAAGCGGGTGCAATATTTGCAGGTGAGTTTGGCAGTAATAATATTTTGAAAGCGGCACTTGTTGTGGAAAGGGATGAAACTGCATTGGTGAGGACTAAAATGTTGATAGATAGGTGGAAATTAGCAGTCCAATGGAGGCTTATGTATAAAACAGTTGTTGCTCGTTGTTTTTCGTACTGTACTGAGACAATCAATTCTTTATCTGCTACGTCAATTTCTTAAATGTTGATGGTTAAATTGACATCATTTGAATAGTTAAGTAGTTTGATTGATAAAATTGAAAGATATATGGTTATTTTAGATTTTTTCGTGGTTATGAGTATTGTTTATCCTAAAAAAAACTATAAAACTGATACTATTCATTTATGGGTGTAATTGAGCTGAGCCAAACTCGATTTGAAATTCATCACTCGGAATTTGGCTTGATTTCAATTGGATACTACTACAAAGGTCTGAGTTCGAGTCGAAGTAAAATCCAACTAGTTGAGCCAATTTGCAGGATTTACATTCTTGAGCTTGAGTTCAAACTCATTTGTATACAAAATTTTACTCCTGTATTCTAATAGAAGTAACTTTTAAATATGTCAAGGATAAAAACTTGTTTTAAAAAAACAAAGAGTTTTGTTAAGAAACATAAAAATATTGATCGTTGGCGGGGAAGGTAAAAACATTCAATATTGGGATAATGTGTGTTCTTATGGTCTCATTTCAGTCTGGCACACTTGCTTTGCACAATGGTATCTAAATAAGGTCATAACGATTATATTTACATAAAAAAGTTGTTATTAGATTTTTACTTCATTTTTTAATAATTATTTTTATTAAAATATACTTCTGAATAACCATATCAAACACTCTAATCTTAACTTTTCAAAACCACTTTTAAATTACTTTCTAATATCACTAAATGTACTTTTCAAAAGCAATGTTAATGTAGGACTAGGCCTAGGGCCCACCCTCAATAATTAGAATACATTTAAATGAAAATGGGTAAATGATACTGGTGTCCCTCTTAATTTTTGAACAATTTGAATTCGGTTAGTGATTTTAAAATAAATTACATTCTTCTCACTTTTGTGTTTGGTCTATCTTATTTTGATCACTAGATCGTTGATTCCTGTTAATTTACTAAGACGAAATGTTATTAAAAAATGGTTAAATTTTAACTTAACCCTGAAATTTTAGATAGAATACTAGTTTAACCCTAAAACTTAGATAAATATTAATTTAACCCCTAAACTATAGATAAAATATTTTATCTAAAGTGTTGGGGTTAAATTAATATTTTATTTAATTTTTAGGGTCAAATTAGTATTTGTATAAAATATAAGGCTAAAGTTAAAATTAAACCTTTTTACTAACATGTCACATAAGTAAACTAACGAAAGTAAACGACCAGTGACCAAAATATAATAAATCGATAATGTAAATGACCAAAATTTAACTTTTCAAAATCATTGAGCAAAATAAGACATGCCGAAAAGAAAAGAGATTATTAGTGTAGTTAACCCAGTAAAAATATATGAGTTATGTTAAAATGTTACATCGGTTGAGTTGATATGATTTTTCTAGACTCGGTCATATATATAACACATATCATTGCTATTACCTTTTCAAATTAAAAAATATATATGAAAAATATTTATATTGGCCCAGCCAATGAAACTTTTCTGGATTTGCCACTGAAACTAGGTGATCTAATTGATAAAATTAAGATATCAATAGTTAACTTAAAATCTTTCTATAATTAAGTGATCACGTTGTAGTTTACCCTTTTTTTTATTTGGTTTATAACATTAGGGGATTTTATGATTCGTTTGGATATATTATACCTATTTCCTTTTTTTCCCTTTTAAAAAAGGTAAAATCACTTTATGTACCAAGAAAAGGTTAAAATCACTTTTAAACACCCACAGGTCCAATCGAAAACCAGGAAGCTTTAACTTTTTTCAAAGCAATTATTATTTCTTAATCTCTTTCGGTTTGTGGCCACAATAATCTTTAGAACACACGTTTAAATCCAAAATTTTACGCTCAACTTTATATAAAATATATAACCAAATAATTAAAATTTGTCATTGTCTTTTAAATCATTAAATTCACAAATTTTCTATCCTCACCATACCAAACAACCAGAAAAATTCATTCAAAGTCTCAATCCACTGAGCCCAAAACCTTCACCCTCTAATGTCTTTTATTTCCTGATTTCAACTCCAACAAGAAGGAGAACCTGTTTGGCTAATGAATTTCTAACCATAAAACCTGATTTTAGTTATTATTTTATAGTTAACCAAGTCTCGTTTCAAACCGATCTCTGCCGGTTGGTCTATTCTCCGATTCTATTATTATGGAGGAACTCTTAGACCAATGGGTTCATGATTGAACCAGTGGGTTCGGTCCGATCTGATTTCTAAAATCGAATTCGAAAGCTCAACTCAGGTCACATCAAAATTACAATGGCAATAAATATGAATTTCTTTCCGAAATGACGCATATATGTATAAACAACTAATTTCACATAGTTTCTACCTATTGGATACTAAGACATTTCACGAAACCTAGCAAGTGCTTTCTTATGAATCACAGTTTTGTAACTGTCACCGGCTTGCACCTCAAGGCTTGGGTCCAACTTCTTTGTCTGGCTTCCGAGTCCTGCTCTACCATCCGTTGCCTGCGCTTGTACCGGTTCCTTCATTCCACTTCCATCCTTCCCCAATCCCTTTTTTTCATTTCATTTCCACAATACAAAACAAAGGGAAGCATTCCCCCAGATTTACGAAAAGAACATTTTGTTAGAACTTTCTGCTTCAAATATGAAAAAGAGCAACTTATGTAACCACTTAATTCATCTCTCGATTTTACCTACAGTTAAGAGAGGAAAAAAAATACAGTCGCAATGTAACTAATACTGATGCATAAACATCAACATTCTCTTTGTACGCTTATCATCGTTTCACCTTCCAATAGAATGAATGCAAAGGGTTTTGAGTCCTTGTTGCTTCGGCTTATGAACAAGTGTTACAATAGAACGAAATCAAAGGGTTCGAGTACCGTTGTTCGGACTTGGGGAAAAAAAGTGTGATATGAGGATCACGTCTTAGAAGATGTTTTCCATATAACTGGAGGGTCCTTTCAAAAGGACATGTATATCATCTAATATGTCTTGTAAATGGGTACTCGGGGGGAAAATAAATAAGTCATGGTAATATGCCTTTGATGAGCACCGCATAACTGGGGCATGAGAAAGTTGGAAACTCCTTTTTTTTTTCTTCTTTTGAGGTAGGGAGGACAAAAGCAGAGCTACAGGGTAAAGCAAGAAACTAAATAGCACTTGGCAAACAAAAAAAGAACAGCTAAAAAGTAAAAAGGAGAGAATGGTACCGATCCTTCATGCCAACCCATATTGCGGAGCATTTGGTTGCCCACATTTTTCTCATCAATTGCTTTCTCTGTTGTGATCACCTCAAAGCTTTGAACATCATCCGACACAACCCCACGTCCACCTCCAACACCAGGTGGGAAAGGCATTGGATCTGAGGAGAATTTTTTGAATGCCATATCTCGATCTTGAAAGAGAATTTCTCACAAATTAATAGAATTTTTTATAAATACAACAATGAAGCCATCAAGTCATATAGCCAAGGCCTTTGAACAAGCAATATTTAGAAGAAATATTAGGCCTATTTTCGAGATGACTAATATTCAATACTGATAAACAAGCTTACTTGAATTCCTGAGCTCCTGGCCAGGCATATCATCTCCAGTGGAAGATGACGAACCATACAAGTTCCTCCTCTCAGCCGCACGGTCTCTGTAACCGGTTTGAGACTGCTCCTTTGTGGTAGAAGGCACTGGCGTTTCATAAAACCTTCTTTTACCAGTCACAGATACAGCCGAAGGTGTATAAGAACCCAATGCAGATGCATCAGTCCTAAACGGAGTCATAACTGCGGGCATATCTGAATTAGTTGATGAAACTTCAGCACTTCCAATAACAGCTGAATTGGAAACTCCAGTGGATGATCCAGAGTATGGGGTATCAGACTTCACCACCCCTCTAGCTGAGCCTCTTATTACTCCCATTAAAGTTCCCCCTGTGCTGTTGCATACAGGCCTTGCCTTTACTTGAGATTCCAAACCCCCAGTAAACGCAGCTAGGGCGGTTGTATTGACTCCTGAACTTGATGTATTACTATCCTTCTGGCCCATCACATCAAATTTAACTTTACTCTTGGCATGTTGTCCAGATGGCTGAGGTCTATCCTCAGATGATGCAGACAAGTGATTTTCATCAAGAGTTAAACGGGTTGCCTGCCCTTCATGACTCCTTTGTTTCCACATTGTCAACACGTTATTCATTTTCTTCTTATTAGCCAGTATACTGCTCTTCGAAGCAAGTTTTATCTCTCTTGCTTTTTCCTTCTCTTTCTTCTCTGCAGCTAGTGCTGCTGTTGCAGCAGCTTGAACTGCATCAGGTAAAGAGGCCGCCTTCTCAACTGAAGTGACAGTAGCAGCAGGTGCAGATATTACTACCTTCCTACTATCAGTTCCCTTGGAAGACTCAGACTGCTTATTAGGTGTTTTGTTGTCATTCTGATCACAAGGGATGTACTGCTGAGACTGGTTATCGTACGAATACCATATCCCACTCTTACCATCATAATAAAGACCTGCATGTTGAACAACTAAAAGAAATTAGGTCTAAACTTGCAACAATAGAGAATTATCATATACTTAGCTCCAAAAGTAAAGAACTTTAAAAAGAACAAAAATTTGCCCGTATGTTAGCATTGGCATAGAAACATTCAAAATTTTCCTCCATACAAGAATAAAAGTTGTTCTGTTACTAGTATAGTTAAATAGTTCTGTGACACATCGACTGCTCAGTTAGATAATTTTTTTTATAGAAGTTGGAGGTCTCATTAAAAACTCCCTTCGTATTCTTCCACATACTTAGAAGTATGTTGAAGAACATAGGAAGGAAGAAAAGAGTGCCTCATATTTTATTAAAAAGTAGACCAAGTACATGTGGTAACACCGATCCCTCATACGGGAATATACACCATTACAAACCAAATCACCTAGAAATCTTACATCTTCAAACAAAAAGCCCCTAAGACAATAACCCTATTTCTAAAATACACCACAAGATGTAAGATAACATAGCAAAATAAAAACCAATGATTACAACCCCAAACTAAAAAAACCTCTGGAAATAGCTACCGAAACAATCACAATCCAAAAGGAGGAGCAAGTTCTAATGAAATATCGTAATCTTCAGGGACCCAAGAATTAGGTTTGAAGGAAGGATCAACTTCATGCACCAAGACATTGAATAAATTATCACCGACCTTCAACTCCAACAACTCATCAATTCTCCCTTGAGCTTTTGTGAGTAATTGAATTTTAGCCCGATCAAAGGACGAAGGAAACTCACAACTGTTGTCAATTGCTATTAACTTGCCCCACTTAGTTGCAATGTTTTTGAAAGTATCCCAATTCTAAGCGTGAAAAGGGATACCTTCGCAAACTAACCACACACGCCGACACTCCACCACTAGGCTCTCTGACCAAGTTTCCATTCTGGAAAACCATTATGCAAGCGTCTCTAACTTATCTTCCTTCACGCTTCTCAAAGAATCAGAGTCTTCAAAAACCATGAGAACTACATTTCCAACAGCTCTCATTAGCGTGAAACCAGCTAATCCTTTGGCTTGTATTTGGTTAGCAAGATTACCAATTTTGATAAAGTTCTTGCACCACCCCACAAGACAGTTGTTCAACACTTGTAGTTTATCTACATCCACTATGCCCTCAACTTCAAAGAGTTTATTCCTCAAAATATCTTCCCTCCCAGACTTACTGTGATCAACTGTCGAGGACTTCCTCCAGAAAGACTGTCGAGGTTTATATTTAGCCAAAGAGGCTCTGACTTTGCTGCCGTAAATATAATTACCATTCATCTTTGATATCGCTATCTTGGCTTCTTCTATTTTTGCATAGCGAATAAACCCAAAACAGACCCCTTTAGAGTTTCTTTTTTTAGGAATGAAGGCATAATAACTTGACCATGAGTGCCAAAAATATACCCAAGTCTCTTCCAATGGATCGTCTCTGGAAGATTTTCGATAAAAATCGTGTAACAACCATTTCTGATCCCATTTTCGATTCTTGGATGTCCATCCTTCGACCAATTTTGAAACTCGTTTCTTCTCCTTCTCGTTACTTCGGAAAACTTTTCATAGGAGTAACCTTTCGTAGTGCTCTCCTTGGTTCCATCATGATCAATAACAGCGATAGGAAGAGCTGGTGTTGCCTGAACTACAAAATTCTTCCCGACCTTTTGTTTCCCGCCTTGAGAGGAAGACATTCCATTGTCATCAGTCCTAACATGTTGTTGACAGTCTGAAGTAGTTTTGACAGAGCAAATTTTCAGACGCCCGTTTGATAAAGAATTTTCACCAGACCTCGCTGAATATACTCTTAAATTTTGCTGATTTTGGGGCGAAAATGAATGTCTGTAGGTAGTGCCGTCGGCCTCAACTGTCCAACCTGCCTCACGAGCCAATGCGGCCAGTACATCGTTCATATTAGAACGCTCAGTTAGATAATTGTTTTTTAGAAGCTGAATTAGTTCAATTATTTTCAGTAACCATTAGGTCATAGTCTAATTATTTATTAATAACTTCTGTTACATTTTGCAACACTTCGAACTGTCACAAATTATCATCTTTTATGGTTCATTAATATATGTACCAGAGCTTTTTGTAATCTCAAAACCTACATATTATCCAACTTTTTCTTTGAGTCTCGTCGAAAATGAATTGCCAGCTTAATACATGCCAATGAAGTCGAACCAAAATTCACTCCAAAACCCTAACCCTATTTTCCACCAAATATGATGTTTGTCAGCTTAACTAATGAGAAACAAAGCCAAGTTCATATACAGCTCACTTCCGATCATAATTTGTCAAGCATAAGCATATAACTTCAGACATAAGGTCAGTAGGAATTCTTTGTCTATCAGGGAGGTCTCTAATCCTCATTCATCTTGGATTTTGAGAGGAATAACTAAAAATTATCTGAAGGAAGATTCGGTGGGAGATTGTCTAAGGTCAAATTCGAAATTGAAAATAGGAAATGGCAAGTCTATTTCTTTTTGGAATGACATTTGGGCGGATGACTGTCCTCTGAAATTCCTTTTTCCAAGAATTTTTGTGCTCTCCCCTAATAAAGAGGGGAAAGTTGAGGAGTTTGGCAGCTTCGAATCGAGTGGTTGGGTGTGGACTGTCCAGACCAGGAGGAATTTGTGTGATTGGGAATTGGGCCAATGGTTGGAGTTGATGTCTAAGTTGAAGGATATTCAACTTTCAGAACTTGTGGATGATTTTTTATCGTGGACTGCTAGCGGAGATGGATTGTTCTCAGTCAAATCTTGTAGGAATACTCTCGGTTTTATGTTTGGGGGTACTGTAGTGTGGACGAAAGGGGTTTGGCAAGGCTTTGCACCACCTCGGGTGGAAGCTTTTCTTTGGCAACTTGCTCATCAGAAAGTAGCTGTCAAAGTCGAGTTGGTCAAGAGAGGTATACCCCTTGGGGATGATATTTTGTGTCCCTACTGTAAGAATCAGGAGGAATCTGTGCAGCACCTATTCATCTCTTGTACGGTGGTTTGGGAATTATGGAATAAGGTAGCAAATTTCTGGGATATTGCCATGGTTCTACCACAGGATCCTCCTTCTCTTCTTTGTTACTGGGGTGAGTTGAGGGCGAAATCTACGATTTGGAAGTTTATTCCGGGAGCCATCTTTTGGTCTGTATGGAAATTTAGGAACGCATGGGTTTTCGAAGGAACTCCTATTGACAAAGTGTCACTATTCTTCATTGTTAGATTCAGGATTGCTAAATGGTTCCTAGCCAAATTTCCGGGTATAACTTTACATGAGGATGCGCTGATTGGTAATCCATCTCTAGCAGATGGTGTTTCTTCTAGTAAGGTTATTGAGAGTGTTGTTTTGCGCTGGTTACCCCCACCAGTAGACTTCCTAAAGATGAATGTAGATGGAGCCGTTAGGCAGATTGATTCGGTTGGAGGTATTGGAGGTTTATTAAGAGATTGGAATGGTTGCACTCTTTTGACTTTCTCCGAGAGTATTGGTCAAGCAATCCCCCCTCTGGCAGAATTAAAAGCTATTAAAAGAGGCTTGGATATTTTTCTGTCTTCTAGGTGGGCTGCAGTAGCTAGGTTGATCGTCGAAAGTGATTGCTCGTCTGCAGTGGAATGGATTCATTCACCGGTTCTGGCTCCTATTTTATTCTCGTCTATTGTTTTTCAGATTTCAAGGCTTATTAGTGATAAGGTTCATTCAGTTAGGTTTATTCCTAGGATGTGTAATGGAGAGGCAGATATCTTAGCTAAAGAAGGGATTGGGTGATTGTAAGGGTTTTTTTATTATTTTCTTAATTTTGGGTGTAGGTTTTTATGATGGGAGGTGTGTTTCAGTCTTATGTCAAGCAATTTAGTGTTATTTTTTTCTATTATGTAACTTTCATTATTAATAAAAGTTCCAAGGCACTCTTTCCCTCCTTCCTATGATTAATGACCTTTCTACAAGGTCCTTAGTTAAGAAGGGGGGTTTTAACGAGGCCTTTCTTTCCTATCAAAAAAAAAATATCCTTCTACCAAATACCAACACAGACTGATTCTTATGTTCTATTCAGAGTTTACAATCTCTCTGTTCTTGGTAAGGGTTGAAGTTATGACTCAACCTAACCACACCCCACCAATGACAACTTGAGCTGGGGACCATGCATAATGAGAATTTTATGAGCAAGAAAGCAGTTGCAACAATAGATGGACCCCCAATTAATGCAACTGCTAATGATATAATAGTTCCATTCCCCTATCAGAAAATTTATGTTGAATTTAAAATAAATAAAAAAATCCAGGATCCTAATTTTGATTCCTAATGTGCCAAAAAATAGAGAAAAGAGCTGTCATAGAAAGCTAGAAGAAAATGCAAAATGAACCTGTATTTCCATCATAGTAAAACCCAGAAGCAGCATCAAAGTAGTAACCAGAGGCTTTGTCCCATACAAATCCAGAATGCAAAGTCGTACCATCTTGTTGAACTGGAACTGTACCAATAACTTGCTCCTGCCAACTAGTAGACTGCTTGTCATCTGGATTATATTCCTTTGGTGTCCATCCAGCAGCATCATACTAAAAGGATAAATGACAATACTGAGTCCAAAAAGCATTTAGAACTAAGATGAATTGGGACGCAGGAAATAAACTGTGTAATTACAGAAAATTTAGAAAAGCTTCAAAAAAAAAAGAAAAGAAAGAGAACCTGCAAGGAATCATCACTAGTCATATTACATATTATATAAGCTAAAAAGGAAAGAACTTTGCAAATCATTGAAAAAACTAATTAGGAATATTTTGGGGTTGGCATCTAGCTTAAAGGGCTTAAAGTAGGTTATGTACAAGAGTAGACTCAACATACAAAATCAAATAAGGAAAATAAAGGCACCATCTCTGATGATATCAATATGAACAACTCAACACTGGAAGGCTCTGTTCTAGCAATTCACCTACATTAGCCGCACAATACAAGACTCGATATTAAAAAAAATTCTTTTTCTTTTAAAAAAAGGCACCAAGTCTAATGATGCCAATATGGAGAACAACATTAATGAAACTATTAGAGAGAATAATTATGGTTGCAAGAGAGCTGACCCGCTCCGATTATGTCCCAAAAGTATTAAGTAGGGAAAGTGTATTTACATGTCAAACTTTTCGCGCTCTTGCTAAATTGAACACACCATGAAATGCAACAGAAGAAAGACAAACTAAACATACAAAACACATGAAAACTTTAATATGTTATAACACAACTGACCAATCAGTCATATTTAATGGTCTTACAACATTTTAATTGATTAACTCTTCACATTGAAAACAATAAGTCAATAACAAACAGTCTTTTTCACTATCGTGTCCAAAATATTCATGAATCTTATATCTCGTATACTTCTAAAACAAAGGGGATAAATGTTAATAAAATTATGAAAAGAGATAATACCCTTTGCGCAGTTTTCCTAAAATAAAGAAGATGAAATACTGCAAAAGCAATTGTCTTGCCAACAAATTAGGGTGTCTACAGTTTCCTAATTTGTGGAACTACGTTACGATTGCTTCTTTTAAGCTTCAAGACCACCCCAACTGGAAGAAATATGCCACAATTGAAAATCTTATCCAGCCTTGAAGCTAACCCAGCAAGCTGAGGCCCAGTAATAACCTCTCTTTCTCTAAAAAGAGGAAAAATATTGCTTTAAATAACACCTTATAACGACAAATTTTACTAGTAATAGCTTCTTCCATTTTCTCCTTTAATTTGTACTTCCCACTTCTTTTATGGCTTTTATCAGATATAGTGCCTTGCCTCTCATCTTGAGGTTTTAGATCTTGCACTAGGATTAAAAATTTATTTATAAACCTAGTATAAAAAGGCTGTAAAATAATTACAGCCGCATTATTCTAGTTATTTTCTTGAACTAGTAGAAAAAAACTGAAGTTTTAAAACCCTAAGTTTTCTGGAGTTCCTCCTTTCTTACTCATCTGTTCAGCCCTTGATCCACATCAATTTGCTTGCTGCACTCTTCTCATTCAGCGGTGTCGTATGCTCTTAGTTTAATTTGCAGAAATATGCTACAATAACCAATTTTCTCGAAAGGACTCCTTGATACAATACATTCGAAAATGGGAGAAATAAATGTAAAGTATCATACTGAAGAGAGAACCAAATACTAAAATGCATTTTGTAATCACATGATTGAGGTTAAAGGTTCAACCCAAATGCTTCTACACTACATGGCAGCTAATATGATTTTCTAAACAGTATCATAGCTGACATCTTCATTAAAGCTAAAGAGATCATCAAATACCTGTTGAGAAAATGCTGCAGCCTCAATTGCAGCAGCTGCAAGGCTGCTTGACTGTGAAGCTCCCGGTGCCCCTGATCCAGGCCCAAGAATGCTCTTTGCATACGCTACTCTTAGGATTTGCCCATTCTTCTCAAGCGTTGTTCCATTTGTAGCTTCTAGAGCTTTTGTGGCATCACCAACCTACATGATATCACATATTTTTCAATCATAGCTTATATGTTAAAAACAATTCTGCCAACCAAAAGCGCTATATTTTTTTTCCTTTTTTTACTCTTCTGCTGGCAATTCATTATAATTATAGCAAAACATCCTATAGAGGAAAATTGTAGAGGCAGAAAAATATAAGTAAACCATAGCTTTCACACATCCTGTAACAGAGCGCACAGTTATAAGCATTGTATAGTACCAGCGGCCCCATGATGCAGGGTCAGTTATGTGTCAAATACTGTTGTTCTGCTTTATTTTAAGACCTTGTTAGAAGTACCGTAAATGAAATAAGAACAGCAGAAGCAACCTACAGGCTACAACTGAGGATATTTTCTCTCCATTGCCTAAAGATAAGCACGGAGGGTTGACAACATTTGAAAAAAACACTATTTCAATAGAATAGTCTCACATTCTATTTTTATGACATTGGTGTGAAATAAATGTACAAAAACTCATTATCCGAAAAATTGTACAAAACCGTAAGATGTTAATTATTAGTTGTAAACAGATAAGAGCTCTTCGAATACATGAAACAGCGTTTGTACCCACCTGCGCAATAAATATGATACTAATTAAAGTCAGCTTTAATAATTGATAGTTACAGCTTTTATAGGAAAGCAATGCCATAAAGAAGCAAGATGTACCGAATGGAAATGAACAAAAGCAAACCCCCTTGACACATGGGTGAACTTGTCTCTAACAAGGCGAAGATCCTGCATATTAATTCCATAAGATTGTAGCTGCTATAAAAGAGAGTTTACTATCAAAATAGAATTATGATAAAAACATAAACCTTAATTGGAGCATGTTTAGAGAACTCATAACGGAGCATTTCCTCATCGGCATTTTCATCCAACCCACGAACAACCAGTACATGAGTAGGACCTAATTACATTGTCAACTTAATATGTTATTGCAATTACACAAACACTGATACAAGCCTACTCAAAATAACAGCAACTACCGACCTGACTCGGTTCCTTTCTTTCCTAAGGATGCTGAATGTGATAAAGATATGTCAGCTGCTGGAGCATCGTCTGTACGTGGTTCATTACACTACACAACAGGGCAAGAGAAAGGACACATTGACTTAGCATAATCTTTGGACATAATCACAACAAAGGTGCAAATTTACACAAAACAAATGCACCAACGAGTAAAAGAAATGGATTAACAATAATTGGATTTAGCAATCAAACTTGGGTAGACAATAATATCAAGTTTTCAACAGCCAATATAAAGTGCATTGCAACTTTTGTCATCTGCAATCCATGAGCATCCATATCCTAGCCTCTAACATCACATTCCGGTATGCCTTCATCCAAAGCAACATAAAGCTAACAAATTATAGCTACCACTTATTGACCTAGTGATGTGAAATAGCAGAAATGTAAATGTATGGTGCATCACTAACTCCACTTTAAACAATTAAATTTTATGACAACAATACCAGAAAAAGTGGGATGAAATACTGACCTGAAAACATGCAGTTCGTCGTGCAAAATTGACACATCCACATATGGTGCACATCCAATCACAAGGTACTGTGATGCCCCTATGATTCGAATGGCCCAACTTCATGGCATTATCATTACCAAAAGGTCCACCAGTGCTTCCAGTGGGCTTACTACTGCAACAGAACAGATTTCAATGTATTACATATGCAAACTCATGGTAGGAAAACCAAATATGTTTTATATAATAGAGAGCTTCCTTTCTTTTTCCTTCGTCATCAGAAATTCAGCATAAAGAACAAAAAATGGAGAGAAAGAACGTTTCATTAAATTTAGAACCATATCAATTCATCAAGGTACAGAAGCTTTAGGTAATGTGTGTGTGTGTGTCACTCAATAAGCAATAAGAATGAGTGATCCTAATTTAAAAAGGTGCATACAGACGTCTAAGGTTTTCTAAGGGGGAAAAATATTACTAGCAATTTCATATTTCCATTCCATGGGGCCTCATAACATGTAAATCCAAAGTTCAAACTTCAGCGCTCACTTATATATTCAAATCAGCTCCCGGTTTAAGTTTCCATTTTAAGAATTACAATTGATAAGAAGCATTCCTGCAACTAAATAAAAGAAACTTTTTGTCAGATCTAAGAGGATCTTGTGTTCCCTGTTTTCTGCTTTGCAGGTATCTTGAATTATCTGTCAATAGTCAATATTTTGAAGCAATCTTGTTGCCCTCAAATTAACCTGTTTTCTACCATCAACCAAGAAAGGAATACCAAAAAACACGGTAAAAATATTTTCCCTTAAACCTAGCATCACTAATCAACATAAGATTAATGAAGATGGCCTCACATGAATAACTTCAATCATGATTGTAGAATGAAAATTTACCTGTACTCGAAGAAAAGCTTCCGACCATCAACAACAAGACCATCATCACCAATCCTCTCCATCATACTGCTTGCTGCCCCCTGTGCCAGAAACAATTTCCCTCATAAAACATTCAACAATACTGAATGGAAAACATTGACCAGTTAAAGGGATGAGTACCACAGAAGGAAAATCAATAAAAGCAAATCCACGAGAAATCCCAGAATGTCGTTCTTTGATGATTCGGACATGGCGTAGTGGCCCCCATTCGGCCTTATGGAAACATAAAAATTAAGAAACTTTACTTATATCTTGCAATAATAAGAGCATTCAACATAAACAAAGAGCAAAATATTACAAGAATCTGATATAGATCTTCTTCGGTTGTTTTTTGTGAGAGACCCTTCACAACAACAGTTGCAGATGGCGCCTGAGAGAAAGCAGAACTTTTACTCAGATTCCCAACTTAAAACAAATGCAGCAGCAGCAGAAGCACAAAGAACAAGGAAAATGAAGCATACCACGGAATAATGTTCACTTTGATATTTCTCTTCACGATCCCTTCGCTTCTCGGTCTTATCATTCCGATCATCATCATAGCTATCCTCACGATGGCTTCGTCCATGGTTTCGACCTCGAGGTGACCTTGATCTAGGACGATCATCACGTCCACGGGACCGTGATCGAGATCTCTCATGTCTTTTATGTGAACTCTGATCTCTCTCTCTACTCAAGTGATCTCGTTCACGCGATTCACGCCTCCTCCAATTGCCCTCTCTCCGACTGCCTCTTTCATAATCAGAACCATAACTATGTCGGCCATATTCATAATCCCTCTCACGGCTGTTGTCCCTGCTCTGATGGGAAATGCGTGGCCTATAGTCATAATCATCATATGAGCTATCTCTTTCTCGTCCCCCAAACCTAGAGGGCCCGTCAAATTCATGATCGTGAAAGTTGTCAACACCATGATATCCATCCCGAAACTTATCAAAATCTTGAAATTGAGTGATCTCGTGATCACGAAATGTATCCATGTCACTATAAGAATCAGCATAAGGCTTCTGGTGACGCCTAGAATCCCGATTGTGGGGATATTCTTCCTCATAAGTTGTCCTCCTTGATTGAGACCAGATACCAGAAGCTGCAGGTGGAGCGGATTGGTTCTCCCTCTCCAGAAAATCTCTGTGGTAGGAACCTCTGAAATACACATTATCCCTCGAGTATCTTTCATCTAGATACCTCCTCTCATCATATGAACCACTGACCCTGTAGCAGTAAGAAAGAGAGAGGAAGAGGAAAGATAAAATGTGATATAACGAAACCAAATCTTGGTGTAAATAAGTAATTCAATAGCAAGATGAAATCAGAAAACTGGTAGTAACAGAATTAAAGCAAGAGGAAAACACAAAATAGGGCAATTTCAACAAATAACTTGTGAACCATGTACCTGTGTAGGGAAGCACAAAAAACAAAGAAATTCAATGTAAAATTTTACCTTGGAGACGATGAAAGAGAAGTGGGCAAGCACTAACCGGTAATTGTGGTCAAGAACAGCAGGAAAACCCTCAAGAGCCTGTGGATTGAAGAGAGAAGTTATGTCAATGAGAGAAAGTAATATGAATTAGGCAAATGGAGAGTCCATATCCTGAGTGCTGTAGGGCTTTGTTTCATATGTGTATAAGGGGATGAGAGAATGATCCCAACCCCGTATAGGTGATTTGCTTATAAAGGAGGAAACCACAATTACGTTGTTATTATCCCATTCATGTCCTTGTTGAACAGGGTAGCGACCAGGGTCCATTTTCTTTCTTTGTTTCGCTGAAGCGATTTTCGTATAATTTCCTGATATAAACGCACAAACATAGAAAACAAACACAAAGAAACAGAGGGTGTTATGCCATTACACGAATCAATCGAAGCAGCAGAAACCCCCCTACGATTTTGGGAGAGAATCAAATCTCCTTTTTCCACATTGATGAATGATGAGAGCAGTCAAACAAATCAAGGGGGGAAAAACAAAATTCCTAATTACAAAGTCAAAGTCCCACTATCTGCATTTCATTTTGTTTACCTGCCTAAGGCCGAGGCTGAGGCTCAATTGAAACTTGAATCAAATCTTCGTCCGCACTCCCAATCTCCGGTTTTCCGCCTTCCTTCTGATTGCCCAATCCGATTTCCTTTCAATCTACAAACAAAAACCTAAATCCTTTTGGGAGAGACTTTACTATTGAGTATTCTCGATATTATTTTTATTCTTATTGTACAATAATAACAATTTATTTACTACAGAGAGATTTGAGAGGATGGCTCGGATCGGCTCGACTCGTTCCTTGTTAGCTAAACAAATCATAAAGACTGGGACCGCTGGTTGCCACTGCCTGAAAATAAAATGAAACAATCTCTCAAAACCCTAGTCCCTAGATGTTTAAAAGTACAGTAAATGATATCTTTAGTTCTTATAATATTATTTTTGTTCTATTTTGACATAAATTTTTTTTAAATTATATTTAATGTTTAATTAGATTTGCTCTGTCATTAAAAATTTAACACAACAACAGATGTGGTATTTTATATTTTTTAATGATGATGTGTTATTATTTTATGGTTACAACTAACACGTCAACATTACTATTAAGTTTTTAATGGTAAGCATCAAAATGAAACCTAAAATAAACATTAATTTTTTTTAATTAAGTACTAAAATGAAATAAAAATAATAGTTTAAATACTAAACACATAATTTATCTTTAAAAATGATATAGTATAATAGTTCATAAACCTTAAATTTCATTTCAAAACAAATAAATTGACATTCATTTAAATTTTCATCTACTTTTTTTTACAAATATTGATATATAATTTGATATTTAAAAAACACTTATATATAAAAACTTTAAAATTATTAGAAATAGAATCATTGAGCGACCTCAATTGTTAACAAATATCTATAGGGTGTGTGCATTGTTAATAGTCACCAAATTAAAAATAAAACTTAAACTAAACGTTAGATATTATTTTTTTAAAAAAAATTAGGTACTAAAATGACATAAAAATAATAGTTTAAACACTAAACACATAATTTATCTTTAAAAATGATATAGTATAATAGTTCATAAACCTTAAATTTCATTTTTGATCTTTTATTTTGAAACAAATAAATTGACATTCGTTTAAATTTTCATCTATTTTATTTTACAAATATTGATATATAATTTGATATTTTTTAAAAAAAATTATATATAAAAACTTTAAGATTATTAGAAATAGAATCATTGAGCGACATCAACTATTAAAGAATGTCTATAGGGTGTGTGCATTATTAATAGTCACCAAATTAAAAAATATACAAATTTATTCATTAGTATTACAAAATTATATCAAAATGGTCATTGTTTGTTAAATTGGTAACGGAATTGTTGGCAATAATTCTTTTTAAATTTGATATAATAATAACACATTCAGTTCTCAACACATATATTTTATTAATATAATTTTAATTTTAGTGAATTCAATAAAATTATTCTTCCATATTTACAAATTTTATTGATATAGGTTTTATTTTAAAATTTTAGAGAAAAAGTACTTCTTTCTTTCTTTTTTTTACAAGTTTTATTAGTTTTTCTTTCTTTATGCGAAAAATAAAAATCTCATTTCTTTTAGGGTAAAATTATGTTTTGTAACACCCCAACCCGTATCCGACCCGGATACGAGTCCGAAGTGTCACATTGACTTTTCAAACCTTGACTCTTAAGAAAAAATCCCGGGAAATTTAAAACTTTATTTAAAACAAAATACAGACTTTATCAGAGTGCTCGTACTTAATGACTTATTACATGCCAACACTTTATACATAACCAAAAACATACTTTGTCAAATATTTCTGATCTGATCTTTTGGTAAGGAAAACTGACCTGTCTTGCTCCGCATCACTCCTTACTCTTCTCGAAACCTACGTGTGAAACAATCACACGCTAAGTCGAAGACTTAGTGAGGCATAACCACTTATAATGCACTTTAAAACATATATATTGATACATGCATGTTCTGTTCTATCATGTTATAGCAAGTCCAGGCATTTTTCATATCGTATAGAATCATATCAGATTAATCGCAGTAAATTCATACATACACATAATTCATCATTCACATGTTATCATATAATCACATACTTTTTCAATCAAACACTATACACACAACATCATATAATTTCTATAGCATTTATCATACCACTAACTTATATTTGTTCATATCTCTGGATTAGCCCATGTATATATGTGAGAACTATCGATATGTGAGTCTATAGAGGTTGTGCACTATGCTGTCACCACAGCTCGTATAAATGCACCGAAGTGCCCCGTAGAATTGCACCGAAGTGCCCGTAGAATTGCACCGTAGTGCCCGTAGAATGATGTCCATAAGGACCACGTAGAATTCCTTAAGAATCATATACATATACTATGGATCAAGTATGTGTCTTTCAAGACTTCACACAGGTTCCAAAGGATATACATATGTCCTAAAGAACCGAATAAACCCTCGACTCTTGGCATGCCAACTATACCCCTAGCTCTCATGACACATAACATGGGCGTTATCATTTCTTTCATTTCAAATATACACATAAACTTGTAATTCACTTTCACATATCACGTATCACATAGCTTGTTTTCATATGATCACATAGTCACGTAGTTCACTTACCCGTAGATCATTTCCATATAATTCACATGTCACATATGTCATGTTTTCATATAATTTCTATCATTTCTCACCCAATCACCTTTATTCCTATAAACATACTTATCATATCTTGTTCACATAAGATCATATATTTCATATAATATATCGAAACACCTAGAACACTTTCACGTAGCTTATAGTCATAAGTTTTGTCTCGTATCATATACTTGTTTTCACATATATATTTCCTATCAATTCTTATACCATCACATAATTCATTTAACATACATAACATATCATGTAACATTATAATAGAAATACTTATAAGTCATATCACTTAAAGCACATATACTTATAGTCACATTGCTTATATCTTAATCGTATGCCTTCTCTTAAACATATATTCACATGTTCAGGTAATTCACCATTTCATCACATAATTGGGTATTCATATAACTCATTTCATTTCATTTCATCTATCTATATATATATATATCCTCAAGATTATCCTAATATAAATCATATAGCATTCTTATATTTCGTATTCATCTAGGGCAGACTTATAAACATATCTCACTTCTATTATTTCTATATATAATCTAATCTGTTACTTAATTCAATTTCTTATAGCTCTTATAATCTTCTCATATAACTTCACAAATTTCTATCATTCAACCCATGTGTTATAGTTTTATTTAAACCTATGAATCTTTCCCATCTAGCTTATCTTATACGTTCATCTTATCATTTATGTTCAAATCCCCTAGTTGGTGTACTATTTTCACTTCATCCTATAGATCAATATTATCCAGTTTATTTCACTTATCATATAAAAATATAATTATATTTTACTATGATCACATAGTTTATATCTCATACTTTGCTTTCTCATGTTCACCTATATCATGTCATATGGCTCATATCTTTCTCATGCAGTCACATAGTTCAGTTTCACATATGTATATATATATATACCTTATATAGCACATACTTCTCATAACATTACATTCAAAAGCATGTCAACACATATATTCATGCATACATACAATTCATGTCATTCATATACGTATAATCATAAATTCATGCATTCTAACATAGGAAATAGACTTGTCGCAAGTCTTGTTTCCATTTAGCACCATAAACTAACTAATATGCACTCACCTGGCCTCACTAGCCAAATCCAATCTCTTATCTTTCCCTTGATCGATCTTACTTGCTAAACGTTCCGGAATTGCTTTATGCGTAGAATCTACATAAATGTACATTTCGAGACCATCATTAGATACCTACACCTTGTAATTGGATACTATCAATTTAAACGAACTTATTAAATCCATATCCCCAATTTTCCTTTAGGGGGAATCGGTTCCCCCCCATGGGGTATCGGTTCCCCTATGACATACTGGAAATTCTTGTTCGTTTGAAGGGGTATCGGTTCCCCTTGAATGGGTACCGATTCCCCTTGCCCAGAAATCATATTTTCAACCCGAAAATTACTTCATTTCCTCTCAAACACTTCATATATCATCCCTTTTCATCCTTAACTCTAGTACACATACTTAAACCAATCTATATTCATTTATTTCATCTTAAACCTCAAAATTCTATCTTCCATATAAGATTCAAAATCATACCAAATTTCCAATGTGTTCTAATTCCAATTCTAACACTTCCTACCTCTTAATTTAATCCTTGACAAGTCAAATTCAACTTCACAATCTATTAACTCCTTTCATATCAAAAATTCACTTAAAAACTCATTTTTCTTAATTTCTCATAACTTGTTAATCTTTGAGGTTTAAGCCCCCTAAAGCTTTCCTTAATCTTTCTTAATATCCCAAAAATCAAAACAAGCTTTAAAACGAAAGAATTAACCAACTAAAGACTCACTTACCTTATACCAAGCTTCACGGTGGAGAGGAGGAAGAAGAAGACTGAAGAATGCTATGGACTATTCTTCATACGTGCTTATTACCCTTAAAAAAATTATAAAAAATCTTTCTGGTCAAATGACCATAATACCCTTAATTTCCTTTAATAATTACCAAATAACCTTCAATATATATATTCAAATAATCATTGAATTCTTTCATTCTTCTACTTTAGTCACCAAATTCTGAAACTTTACAATTTGGTCACTAACCCGGTATTGCGGATGTTACAAATCTCCCCTCCTTTTTAAAAAAAATTCGTCCTCGAATTTTTCACTAAACAACTTAGTAAGAACATATCTTCTAATGTTCTTATGCTACTTCTTTTACTTAATCCTTCTTTCTCTTAGTTCTTCAACTACCTTTTTCCTTTATACATCCTTATCATGTTACTTATCATATAACCAATAGCATCAGTTCTTATCACTCAAAATCCTTAATCAATCAAATTCTTTATCAATCTTTAATTACCTTATAACCATACCAAACTTGTATTTCGTCATCATTTGACCAAAACTCAACTTTAAATCCTCTTTAATGTGATTAAACATATACTTTAAGGAGTCAAACAATATTTTCACATCACCTTGCACACTGGTCTTATTTCCATATCAAAAATTGTCCTCTGTACTTCCATATTTA